ACAGAGCCAAGCATAACAGTATCGTCAATTCCCTCATTAGACTCGGTAATCCTCGGCAAACTTCGACAGATGGTTTAACCGGTGTCATGATGACAAGTTTATTCGGTTCTTTTTGAGTCTGACGTGCAACTTCGGCTGTGCGTCTTGCGTCATCAACCCGGAACTAAAGTTTGATTACGGCTCAAAAGAACGATTCATTCAATAATCGGACATCACAATGGCTCTTGAAGGAGAGATGGTGTTGAAATGGGAAAGGTTAGAAAATCATGATTAAATGTATTGTATTGCTTGCGTAAGTATAACTGATCTACGGCATGCCACGTCATTTGCTCAAGCGATTACAATAGCGAGCAATACTTCAACATCATAACTTGGCTCACTGTACAGGGAAATAGTTTGCTATCTTGACAATGTGAAGCCAAAACAGATCACAATCATTAATTTAACTAAATTAACTATTTAAGCTATATATATATATATATATATATATATATATATATATATATATATATATATATATATATATATATATATATATGTTAGCCATAAGATGGAGTTTAGTGAAATGTTGTTGAATTATTGCTAAATGAAAGTAGTTTAAAACCTAGTGAGACATAGAATGCATTACTGGGCACCATTATCCTCACTGTACGTAGGGGAGAGCGGGGCACAACGTAACGCTTTTTGACTTTCTCAGTTTGTGTAAATCTACTTAGGGTTTAGAGTATTTATTTTTTCCCACATTAATTTCCCACATGTCTTGTACAATTATGTGGTTTTGTTTTATTAATACAGTGTATACTTTTTTCTTAATTTACCCCGAAAGAATGGAAGTGAAATGTGACAACATGCCCCATAGGTGGGGTACATTGTAACATGTGAGGGGCACATTGTAACATCACCATATGACAGCTTAAAATGCTATCTGATCTAATCAAAAAAAATATACAAGTCAAACCAAAATATTTTCTTAATAAAATACAATTATTAACTTTTTCATATAAAATAATGGCATTTTTTAATAATTAAAAATAAACTAATAAACTAAACAAACACACCAGAAAACACCGCTATACAGCATAGTTCAAAACAAAATAATAATTAATAATTTCTGAACATTGACTCTCAGTCTTTATTTACATGTTTCTCATGTTTTCTCAATAGAATTAATAAAAGTATAGAATATAATAGCATATTTCTAATAGGGGCACATTGTAACGCAGTGTTACAACATGCCCCAACTGCACAACTGGGGTTAAAACCCTGCTAGTGTCTTCTGCTAGTTAGCGAAGTATTAAAGAACTATATCAACTGTTAAACAACAGATTGAAGATTAAAATAATATCAGATTTGTCTAATTTTAAATAAACACAAAAAATAGAGATGAAAAATTAACTTAAGTAAGAAATGTACTTTTGCTATGATTAAATAAATGTTCAGTGATATTTTACAAAGATTTCTGAATTTTGGCGCATTTTTTTCTCTATGTTGAAATGGCAACTAGTAAATACACCAAGTTTTGTCATGCTGGCATGTGTGGAAGTATTTAAAACAAGTGTGTTACAACTAGCCCTGCATTACGTTGTGCCTCGCGCTCCCCTACACACCGCCGCCGACGTATCGGACCCTGCCACTTGATAACTAGACATACATAGACGCCGCCATGTATCGGACCCTGCCACTTGATAACTTTCATTAGTGGACCAAAGAAAAGATGCCTAGTTTGTTTTAAAAAACAAAAAAACAAAAAAACGGTGGCACAATCCAAAGCAGATATCTGGGAATAACCTTTCACAGGTAAGTCTGTATGGAATGCCAAAGCTAACATAATAATATATAAATAAATACATACATAATACATAAATATACTAAGAAATGTAAAAAAAACTAAAATACATAAATATAGCCTACAAAGAAATGTAAAAAACCCTAAAATAATAAATAATTATTAATATTAATAAATTAGTATTTATACTTTTAGTTCCTTATTTATGTATAGGGATCTCCCAGTCACGTGACCCCTAGCCGCGCGTCAGCCATTTTGACGGAATACATCCGTCAGCTACTCAGTGGCAATAGCCGTGGGTAATATATATTATTAGTATATTATTATACTAATGATATAATTATTTGTATATTATTATACTAATAATATAATTATTAGTATAATCATTTTATAATTAGCCTAAATATTGCAATACTTTGCGCTACAGTATTGATATTGCGTGTATAATATGGTGTAATAATATATTATTAGTATATTATTATACTAATAAAATAATTATTAGTATAATTAGCCTAAATATTGCAATACGTATTTGCGTGCGCAAAATATCTCCATACTGAACAGAATCGATTTTTTTCCCCCACTATCTAGCGCAGCGGCCGTCAGCTTACTCTTCACGTCATGTCATCGCACTTATTATTAGCATCACAAAATTAAATATACAAGAGGAAGATAAAGGAATTAGGAATCATAGATCCATGAAGCACCACAAGTTCTTTTTACAGGCATTAAATGTGTAGGAAAAACTTCCTGACATTGAGGTGATGGGAAATTCGGATCATTTTACTGACTCTCCTGTTCAAAGTCGTTCATCAAAATGAACGAATCTTTTTTCGAGTCATTTCGTTCATTCAAGTCAAGTGGCTTTAAACGTTATACTTCTAACCGCCAAATTCCCCGAACACATCCACCTATGCAATCTTGATCATATTCTGAATAAAGAAATCATTATAATGCAGTCAAAAATAATTTACAGGGAACATAAATAATTAATTTACCTTCCGAGTCTTTTGTTCATTTGTCACGTGACAGACGCAATGAACGGATCGTTCATGAATGACCCATCATAGGGGAATATCACGCTGATACGTAGTACTTCCGCATTCAGTGATCTTTGTGCACTGCCACTTCCGTTGAATCACCGATCACTCTGGCGAACTGATGACGGACTACACTAAGTTTATTTATACGGCATCCCTGGTAAATTAGTCTGATTCACTAAAGTGCCGGCTACAAACAAACGTGCTACCTTGTTTTATTTTAAAGTTTGGACCTTAATCCCGGCGAACCGCTTTAAGCCACTTCTTCCTTATACTCAATTCAGTCGGGAATCCATGAGAACTTAAGTAGGGTTAGCGTTGTTGGTTAGATTTACAAAGTGGAACAGAGCAGTGACATCTAGCCTTCGTTTCAGCCATTGTTGAACTGCGTCGGAAGTGGACATGCACAAAGTTGACAAATCCCGCCCATGAAACCCGGAAGCGTGATAATCCCCTATTCAGCTACAGCTACCTTATTCACTTCCCATCACGCTACACTTCATTAAAAGCATACAAAAGCTATCGATATAACGAGTCCGGATGGGTCAGCAACTCGTCAGCGGGGAAGGATTTTTAAATCATCACCGCAAAGGTTGGTCAATGTATTTTTATCACCAAATTATAGTAACTTACCTGTAATAATTTTTAAACTGAGTTTACAGGGAAAAACACAAAACAAAATCACCAACAAGATTAAGTGTATCTTAAATGAATTTGTTGAATCTAGTTTGATCCAAGAAAAACGAAATAATACTTTTTTTATACTTGTAACGTTAACTAGGCTACCATGCAGTGACACTGTCACTGTAGTATGATAAACTGTCATTGAGACTGTTGTCTCAACCTGTGTTTCTAACGATTTAAAGAAGTGTTAAATAAAATACAAGATCAGCTTTTGGTATTTGAAAATGATAGGAATATTTTGCGACGAGCTGTATTATCACCGGCGGTTTAGCATTTTCTATACCGTCAAGATGGCTGCTCCAAATGGCGTGACGTCACGCGGGACGACCCTATATATGTATTTATGTCTACATTTATTTATTTCCACATTTATTTATTTATTTATACATTTATTTATTTCTACATTTCTTCCTCTGATTTCCTCCTCACCGTGCATTAAGACAATATAGACACACGTCCTCTTCCAGGCAGATTCGTAAAATCTTTAGTTGATTGGAACTTCTTAATTATTGCCCTGATGGTGGAAATTGGAATTTTAAATGCTTTAGCTATTTTCTTACAGCCACTTTCTATTTTGTGAAGCTCAACAATCTTTTGCTGCACATCAGAACAATATTATTTGGTTTTACTCATTGTGATGGATGATTGAGTGAATTTGGCCTTTGTGTTTCCTCATATTTATACTCTTGTGAAACAAGAAGTCATTGCTAGACAATGTTCCTAGTCACCCTGGTGTGCTAAAAAAAAATTAATGGGAATATACTTAATATAACTTAAATGGGAGATATTTTACTCATAAAAAATTTTAGGGGTGGCAATAATTGTGGCCAATGTATTTTGGAGAAAATCATTTCATGTGATTTTCCCCCTACCCCCCACTTTCAATTCTTTTACTTCAATGTAAGGTTAAATTTCTGAATTTTTTTTTAAACACAACTTGGTTTCACATTTAATATATTTTAAACATTATATTAATACATTTATTAATATAAATTAAAATTGTATAATGTTGAACTATGACATATTGTGTTTTGAATCCATTAACATTAAACATGATAGGCTAAAATAATGCTCATCTACATCAAGATATCTTATGCATGTATGAAATAAAGTGACCTTATTTTAAAGGGGACCTATTATGCCCCTTTTTGCAAGATGTAAAATAAGTTTTTGATATCCCCAGAGTGTGTATGTGAAGTTTTTAGCTCAAAATACCACATAGATAATTTTTTATAGCATGTTAAAATGGGCACTTTTGGGGGGTGAGCAAAAACACACAGTTTTTGTGTGTGTTCCTTTAAATGCAAATGAGATGGTGCTCCCGGCCCCCTTTCAAGAAGAGGGCGGAGATTTAAGAGCTCATGCTCCGGTGTTAGGACTGAAGTTATTTTACTTTCGCCCATCCAAGGACGCTAAGTAATGTAGTGATTGGTACTCGCGTCACCGATGACGTTGTGATTTTTGGATTACTTGTCACTTAAGGTGCGGTTATGAGTACATCAGATGACCACCTCCCCCCTCTCTTAGCACAGGGCACTAGTCAAGGGCTTTTACCTTGGCAGTATGAGAATACTCCCATCAGGAGGCGGTTCAATCATTTAGAATTAATGTAAAGTGGAGGGAGTTTGTCACCTGATTTATCTGAAAGATTGGTGAGATTGCTAACTTGTAGAGCCTCTTCTGTATTATCAGCACAAGGAAGCCACAAGTGTAATAAAATACATTTTATTAACAAAAGATAAACAAACATAACTAACACAACTACTAAATGAATACCATGATAAAGGAATAAAGTGCATAAGATGCATAAAATACAAGTGATTAAATTGAGTTTGGCTATGGAAGAGTTACGTTATCTTATGGAAAGATAAACTGTTGTTTGAAAGGTGAAGAACCTTATAATGCATCAAACAAATAAATGAATTATTGTTTGTTATTAACTAGCATCAGCTATATTACCTATTATATATTTACTCTAATGTTTGCAATAATATTTACTCTGTTGCTCAGAATGTGGTTGATCTGTGTCTGTCTCATCCTTGGAGGAAACTCATCTTTATCCCTTTCCGATAAGGAGGAGCTTGCAATTTGGTGCTTCTCCATTCCAGTGCTGCGATTGGCTGCTGGCATGACAGGACACACACAGTGTGGCCCACCCTTCTTTCCCCTTGTGGAACTCATTTGCATTAAGCACACAGTTAGAAGTCTGTCACTTTAAAAAGTGGTTAAAGTGGTGTCTTTAAAGAAGTTAAAATCGGATGCAACAGCCTCAACATTCCCAACACGACTGATGAGGAAAACAGCAGAAACATTGTGCCATGAACAAAGTTAGAAGACTTTAAATCCCCTAATCACCACCCTTACAAACATTTACCATGAATGTACTGTAGTAATTTACCATGGTTTTATGCAGAAATGTGGAATATTTATATTGAATACTATGTTATAGTCATTTATATTGCATTAGGTTTATTAGGTGGGTAGGAATATATAATTCATTGTATAGTTTTAACTGTGTTTAGGCATTTTTTATACAGTGGTAGTGAACGAGTAGCCATGCATGGTTTTACCTGTAGTTACAAAGTCTCACTGTCAGAATATTTTCATTTAAGCCTAAAATAATTATAAATAAAATAATTCTTACCAATAGCTATGATCTTGTATAATTCATATATTTGTACATAGCTGTAAATAAGCTATTTATTATGGTCTTATAAATCTGCATACTGTTGGGTACCACATTTCCAAGTAAATACAATACTTTTTTTAGGTTTACTTTAGCTTATTTATTGATACTGTTATGTTTCAATAAGTAATAAATAATGTTTCAATAAATAAGCTAAACCCACCGGCCCTTCTCAACTTTTCGATTTAATAATCCGGCCCTCGAATTAAGCTAATTTAATAGCCATGTTCTAAGGTATTAGATTTTTAAAAAAAGAAATAAAGCACAGCTCGCTTCGCTTTGTGGCTGCATTACCACCTCTAGTGAGCATTATTTTTCTTAGATTTAAACGGCCCAGTGTCAATTATTCCTTATACACAATATTTGTTTAAATATCTCTTCAATATATGTGTATTTGTGTGTGTGAAGGGAGCAGGCATGCCTTAGGGAGAGTGTGAAGGAGGAGGACACAGAGGATTGGCAGAGGAGTCCAGACTTCAGTGGGCTGGAGCGAGTGGGAGGAGTCGATCTGTCATTCATTAAGGACAATGATATCAATGCCTGTGCTCATCTTGTGGTGCTCACATACCCACATATGAAGGTACATATTTTCAATCCACATAGCTCCAAGCATCCAACTGCAATTGCCCATTGTTGATATTTACAAGCATGGCCATATGGACGGTTTTAGAAATACAGAGGTCCAAAAACTGAGCAAGCTTTCTGTATTTCTTAAACCCTCCATTCTACTTGGGGGTTCTATTGATCTACATGTGCATTTTAAGACATCTGTGTGACCTTTAATTTAATTTGGAGTAGAAACAGGTGGAGTGACTTTATCGCATCAGACATGTGTCACTTTGCTCACAGCTGATTGGTCCAAGTTCGGTTTGCAACCTCTTACCTGGAACAAAACCTGCCCTGGACCAGGTTAGCCTTGGAGGGCAAGTTACTATGGCGATGAACATTGCTAAAAGTCTAACCACTTTCATGGTGCCTAAAACCCAGGGTTGGCGCAAACTAAACTGAAAAATACCTGGCTAGCCACCTAAACCGGATTCATGGTATAGGCCACTGGAGGGCAAAGATTGGATGACAATGGCTTTTCAGTGGGGAAAAAAGTAAACGCATGGTCTTGAAAAAATCACATTTCACAAATAACATGTGTGTTTTGAACGAATGACAATTTCAATAAGTAAATGATAACTCTTATGAATTAGTATGAATTATATCTCTTTAAATTTTGAGCACAGATCAGCCATGGACATATCCATAGCTTATATAAAAGTTGCAGACACTTGGGGTTTTCTTGTCAAAAAGAGAAAATTAAAGTAAGGAGACTAATATGTGCTAGAAAGTATTGCATCTGATCTATTTGCAAATATTTGTATATAATAGACTATGACTGTTCTAACTAGTAGTATAAACACATTGTCAAAGCCACATGTTTTACCATGTTCTTGTCCATGTTCAAGTTTGATCATAAGTGAATTTAGTGAAAGGCTATCAGGGAAGTGTAACCAAGTTTATTACATTAATTCATAATATGAACACATTTGTTATTAGGGTAATTGTATGCCTAATATCCAGAAAACGGCTCAGGTTGAGTTGTTTGCTTTTAGACATTAACATTTCTATCATTAAGTCAAGTCAAGTCATCTTCATTTATATAGCGCTTTTAACAATGCAGATTGTTCCAGAGTGGCTTTACAGTGATAATAGGAAATTAAAGTAACAGATTGTTTTGGCTTTATGGCAGCTCCTGAATAAAGTTATTTTCCAGTTAAAGTTAGTTTTGATTGATTCACTTCCGTCGCAACGATCATTAGTTATTAATAGGGATGCACCGAATCCAGATTTGTGGGGTTCGGCCGAATACCGAATCCACTGGTTAAGATTCTGCCGAATCCGAAACCGAATACCGAATCCTACTCTCATCCTCAGTCCATTAACACAGTAAACACATTAATGAAGTAAACAAAGTGGATTTTTCATTTTATTTTATTACTGTAAATAATAAACACTACTTTTACTTTTATAACTGTAAAAAAAAAAAAAAAACATTATGCATTTTAACAGCGGCGATGTTGTGTAGCCTATTGTTTAGAGTCCTTGCCACCATGAGACAAATCGGCATTGCAAATTGAACACGTAGCTCGACTTGAATTGCCTTCTTTTCACTGAAAGTACTGCCAAACAACACTTTTTCTGCTCACGAGTTCCATTTTCACTTTCTCACAGACTACTGCATTCGAACGGTGCACCTACTGTAACGACTGGAAATAAGGTGTGGCCCCTTTAAGAACTGCGCGCTCCTGTTGAACTGTCTGCAGTCCGTATTGTTTGTGCCGTGCGCCTCGAACACATGCCCATGTATGCGGGTTATTTCTGTTTGATGCTCATTTTTACCTTATTTTGTTAAGTAACGCTGTGGAACGTAGAACGTGTGACAGACAGTTACACAAGTTCGATTGTGGAATAAAGTGCGAGTTGTGAGATGCCTATCGTCTCCGTGAGTCTGTCTGGCCTCTGCAATAACTTTAGCTGTGAGCTATCCCTATTTTTCTTCCTGACACAACGCGTTACACTACAGGCTTGTTCGACTTGAACCGGCGCTGCACAGACAGATCAGTTTATGACATCAAAGTACCGCGAGAGCAATTCAAAAGCATATGGAGCCGTCTGCTCTCTATTCGTTCACGCGGTACTTTGATGTCATTCACTGATCGGTGACTTCGACGTCTTAAAATGCATGTGCACGCTATCAGAGTTCTCACAGGTTCGCGTTTTTAAAGTTTGCGTAGAGAGAACTTAAAGAGTTTTCTGTTAAAACAGTGCCGTGTTAGCGGCCCCTAAGTTAATAACTAGGGATGCACCGAATCCAGGATTCGGATTCGGATTCGGCCGAATATTGGGCTTTTTAACGGGGTTCGGTTTCTGCCGAACCTCAGAATTTTTTTCCACCGAACCGAACCCTAGGCTTGCACTACGCGCAGTGCAAGCCTAGGGTTCGGTTCGGTGGAAAAAAATCCTGGATTCGGTGCATCCCTAGTTATTAACTTAGGGGCCGCTAACACGGCACTGTTTTAACAGAAAACTCTTTAAGTTCTCTCTACGCAAACTTTAAAAACGCGAACCTGTGAGAACTCTGATAGCGTGCACATGCATTTTAAGAGTTCATTCTATAGGTAATTTAGGTAGAAACCTAAAACCAACCCTCAACAAACTACTTGCCTGGCCTTAAAATTTATAATACAGAATTTTATCGCTTCGGCGTAGCCACGTGAACCGGAATTATCCCGACAACGATTATCTTTACAGAAGTAGAGGGAAGTTGCCTCTTGTCAAATATTACACAATTGTCAAATATTAAATGTTTAGCTACATCTTGCATCTCACTTTTTGACCGTTAATTCTAAAGTGTGGTGAATTCACTCTTGGCTTCGATAAACAGTAATGGTAAATGCCTACCCCCTTTAATTGAATTGGCTATCTCAGTCATTTTGACATTGACGAGCGTTGTTATTATTTCACAACTTTTATTATACACCTTGGAAAAATACCAAAGTTAACGGTGGGTATGACCATGTATCCATGTATACACTGGAACCGGAGGATGAAGACTGAAGATAGCGATCACTTGTAAGTATACCAGGCGAGTAGAACAGGTAAGTGGTCAGGCTGGCGTGGGGTAGTAACGACAAAACCAGAGAACTGTGGTGAGGATGGTGACTGCTGATATAGGGAGTGCTGATGAGTGATAATGAGGGTGATGGTTTGCAGGTGATTGAGGAGTGTGTGCAGGTGGTGAGCAGGAGGGACATTACTTCCCCCTTCTGTAAAGCGCCATCAAGGGTGGGAGGGTTCTGGAAATGTGGCAGGTGGCAGGCAGCTAATTTGGGATACCTCCAGGATGGCACCGGCAACCCAGGGAGGCGCCGGCAACTCAGGAAGGCATGGCGGTGCAGGTAGCTCAGGAAGCCCTGGTGGTGCAGGTAGCTCAGGGGACCATGGCAGAGCAGATAGCTGAGGGGACCATGGTGGTGCAGGTAGCTCAGGGGCCCCATGGCTGGTCGGCCTTCCTGGCCTTGCCAAGGAAGTCAGGCTCGGCAGCTATGGTCCGGACACGGGCTGGAGCCTTCACTGGTCTCCGGACAGTGGCTGGAGTCATCTCTGGACTATGGACAGGGACTGGCGTCATCTCTGGACTCTGGACAGGGACTGGAGTCATCTCTGGATTCTGGATAGGGACTGGAGCCATCTCTAGACTGTGGACAGGAACTGGTGTCTCAGGCGTGGTGGCGATCATCTTGGCCGTAGACTCAGGCGCTGCGGCGGCCATCTTGGTTGAAAACTCGGGCTCAGGCATGGCAGCCATCTTGGCTAAGGGTTCAGGTGTGGCGGCCATCTAAGCTGAGGACTCTGGAATGGCGGCCATGATGGGACAAGATTCTGGAATATCTCTCACTGGAACGGCCGCCATGACGGGACGAGATTCTGGAATTTCTCTCACTGGAACAAATTCGGAAGAGCATTCTGGAGTGGACTCGGGAGAGCATTCTGAGAGAGTGAATTCATTATTGAACTCAGGGGCTTTCATAGCCACTGGACTCAGAAGTTCCATTAACGGAAAACGTAAAGTGAACATAGTCAATAAATCTCCCTTGATGATCATAAGCCGAAATAGAGATTTTGTCTTTTAACTGTTCATTCAATCAGGAATGAAATCAGGAAATCAATTCTTTGTCAGAATAATGGGTCTGAGGGGCAAGTTCCAAGTTCCTGCGTGAGGAGAATTAGATGAAAGTGGACTGTAGTTAAATCCTGAGCTTGCTGGTTCATGGTGACTGGAGCGGACTCTAGACTGAGTCTTATGGCTCGTTTCCACTGAGCGGTACGGTACGGTACAGTTCGGTACGGTACGCAATTATTTGCGTTTCCACTGTCTAAAGTTGTGAATGGTACCAAAAAGCCGAACCGTACCGTACCACTTTTTGGGTACCCTTCCGTTGGGGTACCTAGCACAGTGGTACGATACTAAAAGGTGGAGCTAGACTCACTGCAGAACGTTGATTGGTTGACAGAGTATCGTCACTTGCGCGTGCTACAAGGGCATTAGAAGCGACATTTTTTAATATACAGTTGAAATATAATACTACTGTTATTGTGTCACGAAATGTAGTTTTAAGAGTTTTTCAGGCGAGAATGTAGTTTTTTAAAGCTCAAATCTGTGGTTTATTTATAGATTTATGATAATTTGACTGAGATCCATTCCAAGCAATCACCGGGTGCTCGGCGCTCAAGTACCCCGCCTGGAACAGCCTTTCCTCGGCTAGTCGTTCTGATGTTTGCCGCTGACTCTGACGTCTCTGTAGTGGTTAAACATGAGATATAATTCGTCTTGTATAGACCTAACAGGCTAAGTGAAGTTTCATATATTTGAGCGCTGAATTTGTATATTTGACTGAATTGTTTGCTTTATGTTATTAAAGCTTTACTGTATAGCTTTTTGTACCTTTTACTTATACTTTTATAATGGCTATTATTGATAAAACTGAAATTTAACAAAAAGAGATAGGGTTCAGTTTTGTAATTTTTTAT